CAGGTTACATAACCCAGTGAATAGGGCAGAAATGAGGAAAACTGGTCTTTGCAGCTCTTACGGGACTACATAGCCTTTTTGTCTTCAGGAGTATAGACGTGAGAAATTAGCTGTACAAAATGCTCGTCTTACCGGAATGACTGGTTGTCCAAGGCGGAAACTGATGCTACATTCGGGTAGCCTTAATTTTCGGCCACCCGTATGTCGTTCTAAATCGGCTCCCCGTTTGGGAAGTATTGATGAAGAACAGGAGGTAGGTGATTATTTTCGAGAGTACGAGATATTGTATCAGATGATAATGGTTTTTACAGGAAGATGAAAGCGATAGCGATTCAATTTGTTATCGAGTAGCACCGGAAACGACGCCAAGTGTGTCAGAAAGTTCTACAAACGGACAATCAACTGACTTGTCCATAGAGAATTCTGAAGGTCAGTCTGACAATTTTTTTTGAGTATATAGGAGGGGTGGTGCGTATGGATATGATATGCGGCATAGAAAGTTTTTGGCATGTGCCCTAACTGGTAGGGTTGAGTGTGGTAACTTCTACCCGGAAATCGCGTCGCGCTCGTTGCGTGCGATCACACGAAGTCGCGCGCTGTGAAGCGAGAGGTTCGGGGACAACTACCGCCGCTCAGTAGGGTGGTATTACATACTAGTAATTTGCAAATTTATGGAACGAGCTCACTCGAATTTTTATGCCTGGATACGATGAATGCTTGTTTCAGATTTATCTACAAATCCAAGTGACTCGTGTTGTGGTTTTTTGGAAGAGGAGCAATGTCAGAAACGACTTAATTCCTTCGATTTTGACAGTATCTCCGATGAAAGCGGTTGGTTTGGCTCCTATGTGGCTATGTACAATTACTTTAAATCGGGAGGTGAATATAATTGTTCGTGAGCTTTGTAATGTGGCTGTACGCACCGCTACCGCTCGCGGCAGTCTGTGGCTCGTTTTCTTGTGAAAAAATCAATACTACAGCCGGATAAGTAGTGATAAATTTCAGGATACCATGAAGATAAGCTTTTACGAGGGCTTTCAGAAGAATCTTATTACTCTGACGGTGAATTAGTGATGCTCGAAGAAGACTACGATGATCGAGAAGAGCAAATGACTTCTTTATGATTTGTCCCGTCTATTTTCACTTTATCCTCAGGCAGTCTCCATGTCCGTAGTGTCTTGTTGTTGATTTTTGTCTGCCTAGGCTATTTCTTTCATCATGCACACTGAAATTTTCTCGTCATTGATACAGTTTGGTTAATACTGGTTACTAGTCAAATCGAGCTCAGGTCTCATAATCATAGACAAGTTTAGAACCCCTCAAAATCCCAAATTTTAGCCCTGAAGTTGAGGTACTTGACAAAGATTTACTAATTTTGTTCTCGTCGAGGAGGAATGTAGGTTTAGTGACTTGACGGTGTCAGGTAGAGTACAAAATTGGGATAACTTATCTATCCGCGTAACTGGTTTCCATTGGGCGCTTGTGGCGGAAGGTCCAGAGTTAAATTGACGTCGGGCAGGGGTCTACAGTATCTTTTGGTCAGCATTTCTAGCCCTTGTTTCTCGGATTTCTCCCAAATGGCCGAGATTGAAGATTTCGAATTTCGCTACGTAGCGATTTTGACCATTCCCTTCAAGAGCTTTACTCAACTCTTTTCGATACTACCCTAGTCAAGTACAGTGGGGCAGTATCTTCTCGAATCACCCTTTTTTCCTTTTTCACTATCTGGTAGTTTACAGGATGATTTTTAGTATCTTTCGTAGAATTGATTATCCAAACTGTATCAATCAATACGTATCTGAACAATGACAAACCGATCTGTCAACTAATTGTCATCAAGTGTTTTTGGTGCTCATTATCCGCCAAGAGACATGAACTGTTACGGCTATCTTACATACGGTATAATGTGTAGAGAGTTTCTTTTTCTCTTTTCGAATGAAGAAATAACGATTGTCATTTCACAGTAGGGTCTCTAGCGTACTTTCATATTTGTACTTTTTGTATTATTTATTTGCGATATAGTAGAACGTTATAGGATTCAGTAATATTTGTTGTTTCTATATATTTTGATGAAAATTGTTCCCTGCAGACGATGTTCTGCTGTAATTTGTTCGTGATCGTGTATCCTGGCACGAATCGCTACCATGTTACGCACCTCGAAATTCGTTGGTTATGAAATTTCAGTCCATTGACTGACTGAATACATGTACCGTTGCTCACATCTTTAAAATTCACATTTTCAATAGTAAATTTATTCACTATCACTATTTTGTATAGTATAAATAGTTCTTTATTGTATTGAATGAGTTTACCACTTTATACAGAGGTTAGTGTTTTGAATAAAGTTGATGCAAATGCGGATTCATGTAGTCAATTCTTATTGATAAAAAACTAACTAGTAGGCCAAGTGATGTTTTAGTAAATAGTTGAATGGGACCACCCAAATGGGCAAGCCTTTGACTTTTCAGGATTATTTATGAGATGGGCGCAGAGAATTTCTTCAAAATGAAAGGACGATTATACAGTGAGTCAGGTAGTGCTTGCTCTGCTCTTACAGAGTAAGCTCTGAAGGCACAGCTCCCTATAGAATTGGTTTCCAAGATTTGCGACTAGTAATCACCTGTGGGCCAACCTGGTATGGCGCGTGGGAAGCTGTGCGGTCGAAAAGCGGCCTAGATGAAGAACATTAGGGGCTCGAACGCCGGCTTCGTCGATGTCCACACCCAAAAGCGGACGTGATTCACCGGCGTCGTAGAAGCTGGCGCACTTAACGAAAATCAAAGAATTAGTCGTTACCCACTCCACTGTGGAGAGCAATTCTAGACGCTAATCAGGTCTTCACACAATTGCATACGACTGGTAGCACTCTACAACTTTCCGCTATAGCAGCCCTTATGTTTATAACTTGTACAGCGCAGCCCTTATGTTTATAACTTTTGGAGGCCTTACAGTTCGTGAATTCTGCAGAGCTGCTTTTCCTTTCCGCTACCGATGTACTATACTCCACAAACACTTCCGCTTTCCAACCTAAGAGGGGTGCTTATGGTGAACTCTGCCTTTGAGACACTTCTATTCTTCTAGGGGGCATTACATGCTTCAGAACGGCCCCGTTTTCTGACAGCTCACGTTTCGTGTTATCCTCACATCAACTTACTCCCCTTCCTTCACAACGGAAACGAAGTGCATTAGAAAGGCTATAACTTTCGACATCTACAGACACAACAGCTCGATTATGTGGGATGACGCCAAAGTCCATCTATGTTTGGGTGTACATACATAACTGGATGAAAGATACGATCGCCTGTTTTATTACCGCCTACTCAACACAGAAGTGTTAAGTACATACATTTACTAAACATGTTTCGAAATACCAATGTATGTACTTCACAGTTTCTGCTCTTGGTAAATATTCTGGTGATAACCACTGTAGAAGTCGATGAGTAACCCTATGTAGAAGGCCGTAAACCGCAATTTCTACAACCGGGCTAACTGGTTTGATCTTTTACCAATGCTTTATCCAATATTTTATCTAATAAATGAAACTTACTTCTCTTATCGTCGTGAAAAGTAAAGTAAATACAAGTTAGTACTAATGAAAGCCAGATGCTTTTATGTATTGGAAACTTCTTTTAAGTTAGTAATACTAGCGAGCTAGGCATCCACAAGGTGGAGTCGTTGTCAAAACTGAAGCCCTTTTGCAATCTTATGCTTTTATAAATCCTTCGCTTACTATGGCGTGATAGCGTAAGCGCATTCAGTAGCCCAAACACTCCAGGAATGGCCAATTGTTGCTAGTGATCTCCGGAAGAGATTCGAGACATCAGTGATGCTATCATCTCTCTCTATGTGTGAAGATCATTCGAAGGCATGGCGCATCCTCTGTTAGCCACCAACACACAGTTAGGTAAAATACGACTGGAAATCGTTGTGGATCACACTTGCGTAACAACATTTGGCGCATGACGAGATCATCGTGACTTTTATTTCCCATGAGGATTAACCTTGTAAAGATATTACCACGAAGTTCCCATTCTAATCGATCCTCCATCTTATGAGTTGCCTTGAAGATAACACTGTGCTCCTACTGAAAAGTTTTCTTAGAGTGACTATTAGAAACCTCACATGGGGTGTGGGTATTGTATCGGACGAACTCGACTTCATCCGCGAGAACCCTGACCAACTAGGCATGAAACAAAAATGAGAAAGTACCTTCACTATGCTACTGATTAGTAGTTGTCAATAGAGTTTATATTTTTTCGTTTTATTGTAAATCGTTCCCGCTTACCGTATCCAATTGGATTTAACTCATAATATTGAAGCTGTTTATCAAGACTATGCTCTGAGAGATCCTTTTCTGCTGCTCCCGCTCCTGTTCCGTATATAATCTGTCGGTGAAATATCAAGGGTCACACATCGACCGACAGATGATAAGATCGATTTTTGTTCATTTTTTCATAAATATTAAAGGCTGAAGTAGGGCGAGGGCGCCGACCCTATCCGATAGAACTGCCGTTCCCTTCCTCATAGGTGCATGTAGTTCCTATTTGTTAAGCATGTTATAGGATGGTTCATGCATCATTATGTACCGAGAGCGCTGCC